CATAATCCATACAAACTTTCATGATTTTCTTGGAGTCTCTAATCTTATAGAGTTTACCTAACCTTTAATAGTATTTGCATAAAAATTTTAAATATAGAACAAGAACTCATATTGCATTATATCAAGATATTTAGATTGCTGGAATATACTATATAACATGTGCCTCAAGCATAGACATTCTGAGTTTCCTAAATACCTCATTTGCAAAAACTTTTCATTTCATAGAATCATTGACATTCTTGAAATTGATATGTGAGCTTTTGGGGTAAACTGGTTTTTATACTCTGCCTTCTAACTTTCCCCAGATTCAGTAGCAATTGTTGAATTGCAGATGGTCCTTCCCATTTTATCTTCAGTCTTAATCCTACAAATGTTAGCCCTGCTTTGTTTGCTCTGACAGGAAACTCTTTACTTCTAACCTTTCAAGAGGCCATACACATAACAAAATAACCCCTGGCTGGTCTGCTTTTCACAAGAGTGATGTGTGCTGTGAAACTTGCTCAAATTTCACATTATTGGGGGGGGGAGCGGGGGACGGTCCTGCGTGTGTAAGGAAAAGCTAATTTCATTAGCGATTACATTATTTTCTTTCTTCTCTTTAGAACTTTTCCTCATTTTTTGTCTAGAGAGATGGTTCATGGTCCCCGTTCCATGTGTTAAGTGACTCCAGCGCTGAATTCCAGCCTCCTCTCATTGTGCTTGTAATAAAACCTTTCAAAAGTTGTGTTTTCTTATCTAATCCTCAAAACACCTAGGTGCTTTAGAGTCGCGCATGCTCTAGAGTTATGCTGTACAATTCAGTAGCCACTAGCCACGTGTAGCCATTGAGCACATGAAATATGGCTAGTTTAGGTGTGTTGTAAGTGTTAAGATGTGTTATAAGAGTAAAATACATACCACATGTTCAAGACCTTGTATGGAAGAATATAAATTATGTCATTAGTACATTTTTATATTGCTTTCATGTTCAAATGATAATATTTTGGATATATTAGGCTAAATAAACTATATTATTAAAATAATTTCACCTGTTTCATGGCTACTTTTTAAATGTGGTTATAAGAAATTTTTAAAATTAGATATATGGTTTGATAATTGCTCTAAAAATTGCAAAGCCTCTGATACTGAAAAGAACTCAGAGTTTTTGCCTAAAATTACATGAGATATTTGAGAGGTTTTTATTTTTTTGTTTGTTTGGTTTTTTGGTAAAATTTTTAAATACCTTAAAGAAGATAAACAGATATCAAATGGTTTCCTGAAAATTAGAAGCACAATTGGCTTTGGACAAAAGAAAGCTAAAAGTGGTAATTAGACCACAGTCCAAAGAATGAATAAAGTTAAAAAAGAAAAAAAAGAAAAAAAGAAAAGAACAGGACCAAGTGAATTAAATCAGTGAAATCATGGGATGATAATGTGCAAGAAGAGAGAGACGACAATGGATATAGACGGGAAAGGACATGGTGGTGTGAGGATGTTCATAATGGTTTGGTTGTGTGCACTCAGGCCTTGGGGTAAGACAATTGGAAGGAACGCAGGTAGAATTACTATCATCAGATACGTGCTTCTGAATCTTGGATCTTTCCAGCTAAGATGGCTCTTTTCCTGTTCCCAGAACAATGCTATGAAACAGACTTAATAAATATGGTGAACTCCATTAAACTTGGATGGCCCTGTTAGAAAGTATCATTGATGTGATGAGTCTGTGGTCTTTATTATTTCCACTGTGCCCATGAGGAAACTGAGTATCAGAGGGGTTAAGTAAATTGCTGAAATCACAAAGCTAATAAGAAACAAAGTTAGATTTTAACCCAGTTCTATCTGACTCTAAATCTCATTTTTACCTTTTGTGTTCTTTGTCCCCTATCAAAGAAGATAGTTTCTGCCTTTAAGTAACTCTCTGCCAAGTGAAGATATTCTTAATTTGTTACTGTAAATGATAAATTATTTATGTGTTAAAATCTGGACTCAATATATCCTTTTTGTTTTGTTTGCTGTGCTTTTAGAGACACACATTTTTGACTGTGTTATTTTAAAATGTGCTGGGAATGGGAACTGTTCTACTGTAGTTTCTAGTCAGAGAAGTTTGGTGCCTTGTCTTTGTGTAGCAACAGAAATCTTAAGGACCCATATGCGTGATCACATTATACTAGAGAACATTAATGGTGTCTGTGGCTTAGAGTAAAATGGTTCTGATTATGGTATTTGGTGTTGATTGCTCAGTTCACCAAATGGATTGCTACACCTGTGTGTCTATCTCTTTCCTGCTTTCTATTCTCCTTTAGATCTGAGTTTATTTTGATCAGATTCTTTTCTCACTTTATCTGATTTTAATTGCAAAGGATCGAGTCTTACTTATCTCTGCAATCTCACTGCTTAGCCTAGTGCTCAGAATACAGGTGATACATTGCCATCCATTCATGATATGAGCACATATCTATGCCGTGAACATTCAACAAATTAGAAAGTGGCTACCTCTTATGAGTTGGGCACCACATTGGGGATAGAATAGTACATACGGTTGCATGCCATTCTTATAATCTGTTCGGAGAAAGTTATACATCAGTGTGATAGATCTTGGACATGCGTAAGCGCAGGGTCTTGTGGGAACACCTTAGAAGGGAACTTAATCACATTGCGTAAATAAATGGAAAGATTTCCAGAGAAAGCGGTATTTAAACTGAGACCTGGAGGAAAGAGGTAATCAGGAGGAAGGAATTAGAGAGCTAGTAGAAGAGGAAAGATATTCCTAGCAGAAGAAGGGACAAGTAAAGACATTGTGGACCTAATTTGTTCAATTTGGAGTTTGGTTGGAGGGTATAGTTGGCAGACGGGAAGAATAGGAGGAGAATGAGGATGGAAGAGATTAAGAAAAAGTGTTCAATCAATGTTTGAAGAAATAATTTTAAAAAGCAACATGGCACACAATGCAATTCATTGTGAATTTCTAAGGTGATTCATTTACAGTATACATTTTAGACCATTTTATCTTATAAACATATTTTATTTAATTAAAAGATAAAAATGGATTTCAACCAGATAATACTGGAGACCTCATATTCATGTACACATATGCACATTTATTATATACCCACTTCATTACAATTCTATGGTCTGCTCCATACTTATCATTAAGGACATTTACCTCATGATAAATGGGCTTCATTAGTGGTGATTTGAGACATTATTACTTATTCATCTATGAAGGTTATAAAGCTTCTATTAATTCATTTTTCCAGGAACTATCACTATAAATCTCAAATGCTTTTTTATTCTTCAAATGAGATAGAAGATAGTGTATTTGTCCTATTATTTTAATGCTTGAATTTAGCTTTTAAATGAAGGCTGAAATGAATTCTACTTAATGTGATTAATCACTTTATAAATTTGGGGGAAGGCAATAGGTTTGATCAAGAGAATTGCATGAAGATGCATACTGCAAACTCAGTTTTAAGTCTTAGTCTTTTGGTAAATATAATGTTCTCTCGTTGGTCCATTAGGCTTTCTCTGCTCATGTAATCAAACTTCAAAATTGATATACCATTGTCTGCGGATGTGGCTTATAACGGTCAATGAATTAAATATAGTTTGTAATGCTACAAAAATAATGTATTAATCATTTATGAAAATTTGAGGTTACGAACACATCTCAAATTCAGTACTTTTCAAAAATGATTCAAAGAGAAGGTATTGTAAGTTGGTATTTAGGACTTTAAAAAATATTAAAATATATTAACTGTTCATGGATAAAGTTCTTTCATAATATTGTTATGATAATTTTTGAAGCAAACTACTTTGTGCCACAATATTCTCTTTCTACTTTTGTACCTCACAAATCAATGATTCTTTATGTTTCTGAACACAAGCTGGAAGAGAGATTTTTCATTTGCATTTCTATTCTCCTTCTTCATCATAAATAATGCTGATTTGGCAGACTGTACCTGTGCTACCTACAAATGGAAATCAAGGTGAGCTTAAATTCATATGATTTTCATTTGTGACCCGACTCTTGGGTTAGGAGACTAATAAAATATAAGCCACCTGCTTTATGGAGTTGAAAGGGAAATGGGGAGATTAATGAAGGGACTGATCAGGATTAGAAACAAGGAAAAATAGAGTACATTTCCTCTGGGGCTCCACCCCTCTCTTTATAATCATTTATTAAGCATCTACTATGAATCAAATTTTGTAAAGATGAAAGAAGAAAATAGTCAAGTCACATACAGTCCTCTATTAGTTTTTTATGAACGGAAATCAGATTTTAGAGTTTTAAAAATTCTTCAACTTTAGGTGGTGCATGCAGTTAATATGCAGTCATGAAATCTGACAGTCACAGAGGAACTGGCATTCCGCCTTTCACTTCAAAAAGTATAAAGCCGCCAGCACAAGAGCATCCCCCACCCCGTCATCTCTTTGCAATCACTGCCCGCGCCAACGTTCGCAGTCATTTCAGATCAGGAGCCCGACATCTTCGTTATAATCAAAACCTATTCTTCCCTCCCGCGCCCCCACTTCCCACCTGGATCAGAGTGTGAAAAACTAGCTTCACGGGGCAAACGGGAAAGGGGGGTAAAATAGGAAGGAAGGAAGAGAGGGAGGAAGAGAGGGCGACAGGCCCAGGGAGGGAGCGTCGGGAACGAAGGGGAGATGCGGCACTTCCCCGCCCGCGTTCGGGCTTGCTCCGCCGGCCACTCCGCGCGGGCGGCCGAGCAGCGCCTCCCGCAGGCCCCGCCCCCGGCCCCGCCCCCTAGCGTCGGACCCGCAGGCGGCGGCGGAGCCTGTCTCTTTAAGTGACAGCTGTGGCTCGGGTCCCAGTCCTGGGCTTGACGTCAGTGCCGCCTCCCCGCAGCCGGGAGTAGTTAGCGCCGCCGTCCGCGCTCCGGCTCGCGGCGCGCTCGCAAGCTGCGGGGCGGCGAGTTTTCTTCGCTCCGGCCCCTCCTCCCCCCTCCCCGCGCGGAGCCGAGCGCCAGCCCCGCGCCTCCCGCTAGTCTCCTCACACTTCCCGCCGGCGCCCCAAAGGAGCGGCCGCCCCTGTCTGCCGCTCCGCCGCCGCCGCCGCCGCTCCCGCGGAGCCTCCTCCCGCGCGCCGCTCCTCCGATGGAGCTCGGGCGCCGCCGCCGCCGCCGCCGCTGCCCCGATCCCTGAGCCCGCGGCCCGGGCCGGAGGGACGCGCCGCCCCGCCGAGGGTGCCGGGCGCCCGGGCGCTCGCTGAGGCCCGGGGGCCGCGAGGAGCGAGGGGACTAGGAAGTGCTGCTCTCTCGGGCCACTCGCTCGCCGGCGGGCAGACCATGGCACTGAAGGACACCGGCAGCGGCGGCGGCACCATCCTGCCCATTAGCGAGATGGTCTCCTCGTCCGGCGCGCCCGGCGCGTCGGCGGCCGCCGCCGCGGGGCCCTGCGCGCCGTCGCCCTTCCCCGAGGTGGTGGAGCTGAACGTGGGCGGCCAGGTCTATGTGACCAAGCACTCGACGCTGCTCAGCGTCCCGGACAGCACTCTGGCCAGCATGTTCGCGCCCTCCAGCCCCCGGGGCGGCGCCCGGCGGCGGGGCGAGCTGCCCAGGGACAGCCGGGCGCGCTTCTTCATCGACCGCGACGGCTTCCTCTTCAGGTACGTGCTGGACTACCTGCGCGACAAGCAGCTGGCGCTGCCCGAGCACTTCCCCGAGAAGGAGCGGCTGCTGCGCGAGGCCGAGTACTTCCAGCTCGCCGACCTGGTCAAGCTGCTGTCGCCCAAGGTCACCAAGCAGAACTCGCTCAACGACGAGGGCTGCCAGAGCGACCTGGAGGACAACGGCTCGCAGGGCAGCGGCGACGCCCTCCTGCTGCGCGGGGCGGCGGCGGCGGCGGCCGCGCCCTCGGGCCCCGCGGCGCACGCGCCGGACAGGCGCTCGGGCTTCCTCACGCTGGGCTACCGCGGCTCCTACACCACGGTGCGCGACAACCAGGCCGACGCCAAGTTCCGGCGCGTGGCGCGCATCCTGGTGTGCGGGCGCATCGCGCTGGCCAAGGAGGTCTTCGGGGACACGCTCAACGAGAGCCGCGACCCGGACCGGCAGCCCGAGAAGTACACGTCGCGCTTCTACCTCAAGTTCACCTACCTGGAGCAGGCGTTCGACCGCCTGTCGGAGGCCGGCTTCCACATGGTGGCGTGCAACTCCTCGGGCGGCGCCGCGCTCGTCGCCCAGCACCGCGACGACCGGGTCTGGAGCAGCTACACCGAGTACATCTTCTTCCGTAAGTCCGCGCGCGGCGTTTCCCGTCGCTCCCCGCGCGCTCGGCGACCGCGGCGGGTCCGAGGCCGGGCTGGGCCCCGGCGGGGTGTCCCGGGCGGGAGCCGGAACTGCTGTCCCCGCGCCGCCTTGCTCGCGGTCCCCGCTCCCTCTGCACGGCCTTTCTCTGTGGCCCCCGCTCCCGCGCGGCGCTTCCTGAACTTCATCGATCGCGCCCTCGCCGCGTCCGCCCCTGCACGTTCGAGGCGTCCCCCCTCGCGGAGGACCGCGGAGGAGACTGGAGCGCGGGGCTGTGCGCGGGTCCTCCCTCATCTCTCCGCTTCCGCGGGACCCCTGGTGGGAAGCCCACGTGGCTCTCCGTGGTGTCCTTACGGGGGACAGGGTGGCGCCGAGGCGTCCCCGCGCTGCCAGCGTCAGCTCCTGTCGGTGCGGGCGCGGCGCGGGAGCTTCGGTTACCGGGGCGACGGGACAAGGGACGGCGGTGTCGCCAGAGCCCCTCGGGGCGGGGGCGTGAGGGCGGCTGGCGGAAAAGACGTCCCCGCTGACCGCTGGGAGTCCGGGTTTTCCCGCGCAGTTGTCGCCAGTGCGAGAGCGCGGTGTCTGGGACCAGGGGAGGGAGGGGGTGGAAGGAACTAGAAAGTTGGGATGTCGGAGCGCTGCTCTCGGATTAGGAAAGGGCGCGCTGTGTGTGAGTGTGCGCGCGTGTGTGTGTGTGCGCGTGTGTGTGTGCGTGTGTGTGCGTGTTTGTGTGTGCGCGCGTGTGTGTGCGTGTGGTTGTGCGCGTGTGTGTGTGCGTGTGCTTGTGTGTGCGTGTGTGTGCGCGCGCGCGTGTGTGCGTGTGTTTGTGTGTGTGCGCGCGTGTTTGTGCGTGTGCGTGTGTTTGTGTGTGCGTGTGTTTGTGTGCGCGCGCGTGTGTGTGCGTGTGTGATTGCGTTTCCTTTCTGCGCACCTCCAGTGCGAAAGGGGGAAAGGGGCGCTGAGTCCACTTTCGGGGTGCATAAATGCAGTGCTCTTCTGAAATGAGACAGGGAGGGAGAGGATGCGGGAAAGCATTCGGGACGATGCTTCTCGTGGCGCGCCCCGGGAGCGGCTGCGTGGGGTTCGGGACCTCTGCCAAGGACGCAGTCAGAGCCTGCACTGGGCGCGGGGCGGGGTGGGGGTGTGGCGGGCTCAGTTCTCAGCGACGTTTAAAAAGCGAGGAAGGCGACGACTAGAGAGCGATTTGGACAAATGAGAAGCCAGCTGGGATGGCAGCGGGAAGATTATTTTGCAAACGTTTGTCCTTTGGCCACAGAGGCTTTAACGCTCGCGTGCAGCCTGAGAGAGCAGCACTGACAGCCTATCATGGAAATAGCTTTCATTGTATATTTATTTATTTTAGTAATTCAGTCACTACAATGCTTGGGAACTGAACAATTTTCTACACTCTATTTTGACTGGAAAAGGGGAAGGGGCCTCTCCGTGCACGGGTGCAAGCTTGACTGGGAGATGGCTCAGTGTTTGTATGTTCTGATGGCCTTGGAGGTGGGGTGACAAAACCCAGCACGCCGGTTCTTAGAGTTAGATTGTCTTTTTAAATAGTGCTTGATTTCTTGAGAAAACCGTTTCAACAGAAAAGCAAATGAAGTGTCCACTAAAGTGATAGATGTAAACCTATTGTCTTAATTATGTAGAAGTAATACTTGGTACATAGTAAAACCATTGATGGTCAGAAAAGCCACCCAAGGGAAGATAATATTTTATTGCTTATATAAAATCGGCATATCTTCAGTATATATTAAGTACTTTAAATATTTTAGCATTCTTTACATTTTATCCCCTATCATCGTGACCTTTATCAATAACTTTTTAGATTTTAAACACTTAAGTCATTCAACATAGACTTCCAAGCATTTCAGAAAGTGAGTTAAAATGAACTTTTGTCCTTTTTGTGGTTAGTAACTTTTGTTCAAAATGTGTAAGCATCAGTGTTCTGCAGAGTTAAGTTTCTAAAATTTTGGAGATCTTTCAGAGTTTGGGTTTTTCTTTTTCCCCTAGAAAGTTGTAGACTTGAAAATCGTGATTACTTTGATTATAAAGAGATAATACAGGTTATATCTAAATTAGGAACAAACTCTTTTTGTATATTTAAGCTGGAAACTTAGCCAATTTAACTAAGATAATTTGAGAGATATTTGAAATTCAGGACCTGTTTCACTTCTGGACTTAGAAGGGGTATTAAATATTCATATTATGCATAACCACTTGCAGAATACTCTCGTTACTGATGACCTCTGAAATTCATTCATAAAAGTCTCACAAAATCTAAGGAAGCAACTCACAACTTTCTTCATTGGTTACCCTAACTTTGGGGGAAAATACACAATTCTAGATTAAATGTTCTTTTGAAATGGTAATCTAGTCATTGATCAACCAAATGTAGTTGTCATTTAAATTTTGATTGTAAAATTTATCTTGAATGCTAGTAATACATATATTTATTTTATTATTTTGTACAGCTTACATGATATTTTCACCAATTATATTGAATGTGATTCCTTTTAATATTTGGTGAATGAAAATACACTGTAAATTTTTTGTATTTCCATCCTAGTCAGTTCAGTAAAGGACAGAATATAATTATCTTACTTGGCAAGTCTGTATTTAAAAAGATTATCCATGTTATTCTTGAAAGCAAAATTATTGGATGACCTTTTTTGTCTACTTATGTGTTAGGTGTGAAAACTTAATATCTTTTATTTTCCCTTTTGACACAATTCTTTCAACAAATATTTATTTGCTGTGTAACATTTATTTAGTGTATAACATGTAGGAGTCATATTACTACCTTTTACAATTCATGTTACGTGTGAACTTAGTAGTTTGAAGCAGCAATAGAATTGTATACACTTGAGCTTCAGTTTTAATGTTCCCCACCACTCCTGAGTTTCTGCTATAGAGGGGAAGAAAGTGGCAAATGGTTCGGTAATCTCAGACACTGCTGTTTTCCAGATGTGTGATCTCGGCTAAATTATTTACTTGGTCTGCATCTTAGTTTCCTCACCTGTATAACAGGGGTTATCAGTACCAATTTTATAGGATTCGAGATACATGTACAGTGTTTAGACCAGTGTCTGACTCATAATAAAAGCTTAACAAATGTTACTGTTATAGGTAATATGTTACAGACTTTATTATTCTTGTCAACATTAAGTTTTAATTTCGTGTTATAGTAAATATAGTTAATTTAATTATAAAGTTATTTAGGAAGTTATTTTGCAATTAAATGATACCATACTCTACTTTGAGAAGTTTGAAACAAACAACTAAATGACTAATTTCTTTCCTAGAACTTGAATTTTCCAAGTCAACTCACCTAAGCTTACCAATCATACTTCAGTTGGTTTTTCTGAACTGACTCCAGCAGAACTCCTTTTTGATTCAGGGCCAAGAAGTGTTTTAGCACTATGTCTTGAAACTTTGGCAATATTTTCTGATAAATACCAAGCTAGATTCATATCTCCTAAGTGCTTATATCGAAGTCATTAGGTTCTTATGGTCTAGGTCATATACAAACTATTAAACATTTAATATCAGGTTCATTTGGCTACATGGACACATATCTCTTCTCATTCTTAACTCATTAGTTATCAAGTTTTTTTAGTGCACTGGAATATATACTAGTACTATCAAATTCCATATTACTCTTCTAATACTGAAGATGGATTATCCTTTCTTGGGGAAAACAGAGTGATTTACTGTGCTTTCTGTTTTTGGGGGATGTTTGGTAGGTATAGTTGTGGATGCCTTTAGCAATATATAGGAGACAAAAAGCATTTTGTGTTGGCAGTGTATTGCTTAGAGAATAGATACTTATATGATTGGAATGTGATACATAGATCACATGTAGTTAAAACTAGTATTATAAATTTCTTTTATTTCTTATAATCAGAGAGTTTACAGAAAAGATAGTGCTGATTTATTGCTTTTCTCTTCTTATACTGCTTCAGCTTTTGAGCTCCATATATGATTAAGCAGTTTGTGTGTGAAAGTATACCTTTTTCTGGGTTATATTTGATATTCTTTAAGTTCGATATATCCTTTTTATCTGTTTGATGTAGGACAGTGCCAGATATAGGAATTAATGCTATTACTGAACTGGGCTGTGAAATCAAATTTGTCTTAATGGATTTTATATCTACTCTTTCAAATTCATTCCGACTCATTTCGCTGTGTTGGGTTGAAGAAAGCTAGTTGAGTTGAAAATACTCAAATAGCTACTCGATCTCAGTCCTGTGTTAGCATACTTGCTGCATTAAGAGCTTTCTAAGACAAATCTTTAAAAAGTCATTCTGTTTAGGTGCAAAGCTTTAAAGTTGTATCTTTTTTAGTCTAAAAATACTTTTTTGATCACCAAACACTATTTTATGGAAATTAATTTTGTCAGTCATATTTTAAAGTTGATTCTTTTCCTCCTGATTTTCTAGTTATTTTTACAGTTATAATGTGAATTTTACATTTAACACATGGTTGGATGTCTTTTGAATTAGCAGGAATAAGCAAAAGGAACAGATAACTTTTTAAAAGACCAAGATTTTGATTTCATGCAGCTAGTTCCGATAATGAAGCAGACAAAATGCCAAAAACTTTGCAGTGCAGAAGGTTTGGGGGCTATGCTGTGGCATTGGCTTCTGTTTAGAGGCACTGAACTTTTGTGTCTGGCATAGTCTTGTCTTTAAGCTTTTTTTATAGTGCCTTGGCTTTAACTTTCCATGCCACGCTTTTACAGCTTTGTGTGGGTCAGTCTTTATGAAGATAATGAAGCTGAGAAACTGAATGGCTATAACC